AGCTTCTCCCTTGATAATTTGTTGATTCATTGTTATCAGCGTTGTAAAATAAACTGCGCCGAACACACGAATATCACACTCAATCATTGATAAATCAAAATCACTGTCAGTTTAATAACGCAATGTGTATTAGAAAAGTCTATCAGATCTACAGATGCACCCGCACTAAGAGAAAAATATCGAATTCAAAGTGCATATGTGCGTCCCAAGCCGAGTGACCGAGAAAAATCGGTTCACCCTCCCATTAAAAGTTATCACTTCGAAAAAACCTAAATACACAGCGAACAACGGGAATTTGACTAAGAACCAGCACACATTAAAAATACAACACGGGAAAAGTGCAAATAAAAAGTAAAATCCTGAAAAACTTTACAGGCAATAAGGATAACGCGTAATTATAAACAGGCTGCAGAACACAACAGGAAAACACACACCAAAGTGATTTATTTGATTTAAACGATTCCGCCCCTGGTTTACATTACTTGATCTACAGTGCGTCGCAAAATTAATGAGTAGCTTTAAAACAATTCCCAACTTTTGACTTTGAATTTGAACAATTTGTTCGAATCATAGTTCTACGGTTGGACAAAATTTGAGTTATAAGATACGCAAAAAAATAAGTGTATTGGCAAGGTGCTGAAAAAATAAGTTTTTATAATTTTTAATCGTCTGTTGTTGTTCGAAAGATATTTAATTTTTTAGGGACGATCGCATTTTCGGCGCAAAATTTACCGCAACTTTTCATACTTGCGATTTTTTTGGCAAAATGCTGTAGGATCTGTGTTTATCCAACGTTGTACTCAAACTTTATTTGCAGGACCTTCTTAGGAATTGAAAAAACGGTTAACCAAATTTCGGACGGAAAATGTGACCCGCGATAATATGTTCATGATAATCATATGATAAATTATTTCGTCCAAGAATAGAGCTGAATTTTTTGCGAAAAAGCTGTTCAAATCGGACCAAATTTGACCAAATCCTATTAAAAGATTTCGCGTCCATTCCTTGAAACTGGAGAGTTTTTCGGGTTTTTAGGCTCAAGCATTGTAAGCTTTCGAGCAAACCGCCTCTGAAGATGCAAGCCACTGGTGCTCGCAAAACGTCAGGAGGAAACTCTAATTCACGACGGGCTTAAAACCCGAAAAACTCAACTTGCCCAAATCAAGTTCGACCGAGTTAGACCTGAAGCACCCGCACATCGAGCAAATTTTGTAACTTATCTTGCGGGTTTGAGTGAAAATTATATTTAGAACAATTAATAACTGTTTATATTTGAATCGTTCGCCGGATAAGTGTTTCAGTCATGTTCCGTAGTCAGTGAGTGGTTTGCGAAATGGATACGACATGGATTGCATTTCTAATCAGGTGAGGTTCACATGAAATTATTTTGCGTTTTTGACTAAACCTCTATTACGATCTATCAGTCATTCAAAATGTAAAATATTTCAAGATAATGTGAAGAAGGTTCGATTGATTTGGAGCCGATTTGTCTCGATTTGGGCCCAATTTGCAAATAAAATTGAATCTGAAATCGACGAGAAATATTGATTTTAGGGCAGAAAGACCGATCGGGTCGATAGCTTTTTCCTGTAGGAAATAAAGATTATTTATATATATTTTGATTTTATTTAGTTAGCAGCACTCAATGGATTTCCATCAAGAGAGTTTCTAAAATTTTGTACGATCTACTCAATTTACTTGAGCTTAAAAGAAACAGAAAAACGGCTAAAAAGTACTGCTTCGGATGATACAAAAAGATGATTTTGACTCCCCAAATCTCAAAATTAGGAACATTTCTCTATACTACGTTACTTACCAAAGGATCTCATCGCCTAATCGTTAATATAAACCATCTTCGATCGCCCAAAAACGATCAATGCAAATCACCAACGGTAAAAATAGTTTTTCGCGAATCGAAACCAAGCGCTTTGCCATTATATGCTTTTATTATAAAAGCTGTAAGTTTGATGCGGAATGCAAACGGTTTGCAAAAATAACACTGCAGGTTTTAAGGTATTTTTATGATCTCTCGTCTGTTTAACCGGATTCAAATCGCCATATGGTTTTGCAATACCAATTACTGAGTTATTATTGAAAAAACAGTTAGTGGATGGTTTTCTCAGAGATCATTTTATGGAAGGTAATAAACCAATGAAAAACGCGAAGTTTCTATTCGAACTCATTAAAAATCATACGAAAAATTATCAGCAAAGATGAAATAATTGTAGTCGGCCCCAAGCTTTCTGGCAGTGACGCAATAATTGCGCACTTTTCCATGTTCCATTGCAGTGTGTGTGTTATTTATGCGTAAAACTGCCTAAGAAATATGATCAGGGTGAATTTTCCATTCGATTCGATTGCGAACCTTCGAATGGCTCAGGATCAACAGACGATTAAAGATCCAAATTAATCAGAAGATATGAGGCTGTAACATCCTATAGTTTCTGCCTGGGCTTCCATATTGCAGGAAAAAAATTAAAATTTGACTGTACAATACCTTTATTTTATTTTTCTGAGTTATGAGTCAATAAAAAGTTGACCAAATTTTTCCCCCCGGCATGTTTATCCTCTTGGGCGCTTGGGTCAATCTTTTCAATCGAAGTTCTACGCTTCTAAGTTCAACCTAAGAGAACGTACGGAAGAATTTTTGAAGAAAGACGATTTTTTGAAGATATTAGCTCTTCAAATCTTCAAAAAATCGTCTTTCTTCAAAAATTCTTCCATACATACTCTCCAAGTAAGATCAAGCAAGCCTTTTCAGCTAATTTTCAGACAATTTTTCGAGGTCTTAACCACACCGCACAACTCATAAATCAACCTCTATATGAAAATACTATTTAAAGCTGAATTGTTTTCTAGCTTCACATTGTTATGCAGCACAAGTACCGCCTCCTTCCTGTACGGACAGCCATGCAGTGTCCGCAACACCGCCCATTTGTATCCCTGGAACTGGACAATTCCGAAAAATGCAACGAATTGTGTGGATTTAACCAAGTCGAGTAACCGTAATCTAGCAAATGTAACGGAATTTTTCCGGGATGTTAGGCTTGCTGATACTTTGTACATGGATCATATGAACTTATCCCGGTTTCCCACTGCAGTGATCTATTCGTTGCCGCAACTGGAAATGGTGGATCTTTCTGGGAACGCTATAAGGAGATTGCCGTATAGAATGTATAAAATAGCGCACTCAATAACAAAGCTGCTTGTGCCAGAGAATGCTATTTTCATTCCGCGAAGACGCGCTCTGTTCAAATCAATAACCATTGAGACCTTGATGCTGAGCAAAAACGAAATCACCAACATTTCTCCAGTGACGTTTGCGAAAATGCCCCAACTGAAAGTTTTGTATTTGAATGATAACAAGTTGAAATTTGTTAGTTACAAGATGTTTGTTCCTTTGCCGCACTTGCTCTACTTGAACTTGGAAGACAACTACTTGAGCAGAATTCCCCAGAAAAGCCGAATGCCCGCTTTCTTGAAGTTTTATCAGATCAAAAAACAAAAAAAGATTAAATAGACATTACTACATACTAGTTTCACAGAACTGTAACACGATTTAACTGTAAATTGTAGCAATTTGTAAAAAATAAATGTTGTAATTCATTCAGCCGGTCCTTTTTTCATGCTGCTGTTGACTAAAATAATTTATTTTTCAGTTGTTTGACTGTTGCAGCAAATTTACGGACCGGAATGGGCCACAACAATACACAGCAACGAATTCTCTTCGTGAAAAATTATCCTCAAAGTGGTGAAACTTTTGCAGCCGCAGTTCGCAAAATGCGTACAATTATGGGACATCGGAATGCTCCCAACAAAGCAAAGTGAGAAGATTAATGGAACCATTTGAGCCAACTGGGTTTAAGACGTGAAAACAGAAACATGCGTTTGTATGAAAATACCGCAATTAATGTTGAGAAAAGCGCTGTGCACCAAGATTTCGAACTTCACGCGTAGTAAACTGAACTGGCTCAACAGTCCCGAAAAAACAGAAAACTAGTGAGGAGCAAAGCAGAACCTGAAATTGAATAAAATTCCAATAACACAATTAAATTAATTAATAAAGCGAAAGCACTTGATCAATTTACTGCGCCCCTTTTTCCAATTTATAATCAGATTGGTTTTTATTCAGCGAGATTGGCTTCACTCGTAAACGGCGTTTAGTCGCTTTGTGTTCCTATAAATGAAAATTTACATTTCTTCCGTTCTCAGTTCAGGCTTATCTGGTTCACAGTGAAATAATGAATTCAGAAACTTTTCCTGTTGGCAAACCAATAAACTTCCTTTATTTTTACACGGAAAAACTCAAATTAGTCTAAGAAATCACTCAAAAAACATCAGAGTAACAGTAGCAAAATAAGACGAATCTTTAGCTTATAAGAAAATCGAATCACATGCGATTTCCAAACTTTGCGCCCATTTTTCCAGGGCAACATATCGGTCAGCAGTGCTGTTATCAGTCATTCTCAAGACTCCCTTCACTTGATCAATTCGCCCTTTAATCGAGCCATCCAAAATGTGGGAAACAAGCAAATTCTCCACTTCTTCTTCGTCAATATTCAAATTTTTGCTTATGAATGGAATGCTTATGATCTTGTACGGCTTTACGAGAAGTAGAATCGCATTGCCGCGAACGCATTTGATCAGTTGCTCTACGTGTTCTCGGATGAATGGATCAGCCATTAGCGATTTCTAAATAAATTATTAAATAAAAAAACACACAAACTTCGAAATTTCATCAAAAGCAGACTTAAACTGCTCAACAAAATGAACGTTACACACCCAAAATGTGCCCCATCTTTGGAGCTGGATAAATTCTAATTGCTTCAAGCGATTCGGCTTCTAATTGAAGCGTTATTGAGCCACATTTGTGTTCTGTTAGTCAGTGTTTTGGTAAAAATTAAGATTCTCAGACAGATTTTCTACAGGGTGGCAAGTAAAAAGTGTAAAATTTTGAATAGTTGCACAAAAATTAAGTTTTTTGAGTCTCGGCACCAAAATTTTGAAGAAAAGCCAAATAGATCTAAGATCTGGTTTCGTCCGGTAAATTCATCAAAAGGTTTTTTGGCCATCTATTTTGTTTACAGGGTGGTCCCAAAAAATCACCTTTTTGGTTTTGCTACTATGACTTTTCTTGGTCCGCTTTTCATGATCTAGAGCTCACGCTGAAACTTCATAGACATTTTACAACAAAAATTCGGGGTTGCCCAAAAAATAACCCAAATCAGAAATGCCCTCGAAATTTGCGATTTTCAAGTGAAGCAAACTTTACGTTCAAATATTTCGTTCCATGATGCAATCCGGAATATTAATTTTTTTTCAGTCAGTTCTAACTTTAGCGTTTCTTTCTTGTCACGCTGTAACAAGTTTGTTCTAGGAAAACGATAATTTGCAAAAATGGAAACAATTTAGACAGTTTTTATACCGCATATAATTCAAGAAAATTACCCCTTATTTAGTGAAAAGTTGTTTCTGACTCCCGAAAACTGTTATCATCGTGGGACTTTATTCTTAACTTCGTTCTCCAAACATTAACTTCTATGTTCATTAGCAAGTGTTTCTCCTTGAAATTTCAGGAACTCCAAGACAGACTTTTCTACTGCTTAGCGGATAAGGAAATTAATATTTTGAATAATTAAACGATGTTTCGTCGATTAACATTTCTATCTTAACACCACTAAATTTTCTTTTTGATTCATGAGCGGACCATTCGATTTTACTGTTTCCTCCGTGGTTTTATAGAAAATCTCATGATTTTTAAAAGGATGAGTTGCTCCGCTCGTGCAATAACAGTGGAAATTACACACGAATTGCACTATAATACAAACCTTGTTTTTCTCAAAAATTTCGACAAATTCCTCAATTTTCGAGTTTTGAAATGCGTTTATGAGCAGCATAAAAGTCTTGATCTCCTGTTCATTAGCGTACGGTTTTGCCTCTTGTGAATCGAACGGATTGATGTCACTTTTCATCAACATGCTGTTCAAAATCAAGTATTTTAGGCAGTTAATTCTACGTGGATTTCCTGAATCGTCATAGTTTTTGAAAGCTTCGAAAAAATCGGTATAGGCTTTGTCAAATTCGCCAGCGCGCAAATGCATCTTGCCACCTTTGGCAAGAGAATTTTGTAAAAATTTGTTTGGTACAAAACAAGGTAATAAAAACTTTTACCGCATTCTCGGATGACGCTCATTATCAAGGGATGTGGCACCGCTGATCGCACCCTCAACGACTTTTCGTACAGTTTTTTAAGTTTTTTATCGTTCTTTTGTTCCGTATACATTTGAATTTCAAGTGCGAATATCTCGAGCATCTGAGTCCCTGGAAAACAATAAAAAAACTTTCTAAATTGCCATTTTTATGCCGAATACACTGTGGGAGTCGTATGCAATGATGTTTTCAAATTGAATCTTTCAGCTCGTTTACAGCGAACCAAAACCTGCTGAAAAAGTACAGTAGGATAAGGGAAAAACTCGAAATTTGCTTCCGTCCTAAAACCAGTTGAGGATCATCATTTTTTCATTTCGGTGCGAATCTTTGATTAAACAAAAAGTAAATCTTTCCTCAAAAAAGTTGGGTTTTATGAACGCGGTTTTAGGGAGGCATATTTAGGACTCTCGGTTTTCATCCTCAAATCTTCCTCAAAAGAAACAGAGGAAAACCATTACAAAAACTAGCACCATTATTTGATAATCGACATATTAATAATTGCAAATCAAATTCATTCCTGGCTTTCAGTCATTTATTGTCTCTATTTATCAATCAAAATACGTTTCGGTGTATTTTTTCACCATCATCAGTTTTTCTAAAATAACAGATAGTTAAAAAAAATTGTCATTAATTTAAAAAACAACTACAGTTCGTCAACAGCCTCATCATATCACACATTAAAATACATCACAATTG